AAGTAGAGATTTCTAAAGTTCCATTTTAGTAACATGGCTTAGTTGAAGATAGCCCTGTAACAGAAAGCATAGAAAGAAAAGACTGCATCAGAATCACAACTGGTCTTTTTTCTCCATCCCTGAAAGGACCACAAATTTACCATTGGTTTTATCAAACTTATTGCCCTAATTGATTCACATGTGAGGGAGGAGAGTGGTGCTCTTCAATGGCTGCATCCTGACAGCTGCAATGAAGTCAGATGAGGTAGGAAGGTAACCAGAGAACTTCTTCTGCCCCTGACAAACTCTTCTCATTATACATCCAGATAGAAAGGATGGAAGCAAAAGGAATCACATCCAAAATTTGTTTAGGGAGTCCCAGTTAAGATGATTGTGCATACTACTAATAGTGGGGTGAAAATAAAAATTAAACCTTTTGTACAATTTCTGTCATTTCACAAAGAGGAACAGGGGTCTTGAGTTGTGCCTGCACTGAGTTTGTTACTAGTGATGGTAGGTCTGAATGAGCTGGCCCACTTTTGTCATCTGCCCAGAACACTTTGTAAGATTCAGAGTCTCTGACAGTGACAACAGTTCCATCTTATTACCCGACAAGCATCCTCCCACACATGCCAGATTTTTTTCTGAATTTGGTAAGATCTCAAACTATTCCCAATCTTCCATTGCTTACAATGAGGTAAGAAATTGACAGACCACATCCTCCAGTATCCTGTCATGGGGAGAGGACTTGGGAGAGACTGGAAGTCTTAGATGAAGGCGTAGGATCATCACTCCAAACAGCATCAAAGGTGGTCTCTTCTGAGGAGACCCTGCAATGAAAGCTAAAAGTATGGACATCTGCCATGAAAAGAGATCAGGCCATGCTCTTTGGTGCTCAATAAAAATAATAGCTCTCACTCTTCCCAGAGCCCTGTCCCTGAAACTCTTGTATAGGAGATATCAGAGCAGCCCCCATGTGGCCGTGGAACCCTCTGCTTCTCAGCCGCCCCTGCAGTCTTCCACCCTACCATTTCTCCCTCCCATGCTAATGTTTCTTCCCTTCTAATGAGCTCTTAGTAGGGCAAAGGGAACATAAGAAATGCACAAGAAAATAAAAACATCAAATTTTCTAAGTCTTGCTATATTCAAGTATGTGGCCAGAATGCAGATGACATGTGACTATTTCTGTGACACCATGAGATTCCTTTGCCTTCCACATGACTCTTGCTGCAGCATCTGTCTCAAGACAGAGGTGTCCTCAGGCAATGGTGGCTGTCAAGGGTTGATTTGGGGTCAAGACTGCTTATAACCGCTTCTCCCATGATTCTCAAGATAAGCCATGTATAAACGCTTTCATTCATTCACAAATATGTACCACGCATCCCATACAAGATATATCGTTAAAAAGAACCCCTAATCCCATGGGGCACCTGGGTGGCTCAGTTGATTAAGTGTCTGGTTCTTGGTTTCAGCTTAGGCCAGGATCACAGGGTCATGGGATCAAGCCTCCTGTCAAGCTCCATGCTCACAGACAGTCTGTTTAGGATTTTCTCTCTCTCCTCATCTCTCTGCCCCTCCCTGCTCAATCAATCAATCAATCAATAAATAAAATGAAATTAAAAAAAATAAAAATAAAATAAAATAAAAAGGACCCATTCCCTGCCCTCATTTGCCCCACCATTCCCTTCCTCACAACCTCCCAGTTTCTCACTTGGACAGATAGCATAACCTCACAACTTCAGTTCCCTTCTTCAGTCTCCCATTTTCTCTCCAACCCACTCTCCATACTAATGCCTCAGGGAAATTTCTAGCTACCACTTTGCTTCCCTGGTCAGGTTACCAGCTGATTAAAATTTTCAGTGCCTTACTGTTGCCTTTAAAATAAAGCCTGGGGGTCTCTGGGTGGCTCATTCAGTTGAGCATCCGACTCATGATTTCAGCTTGGGTCTTGATCTCAGGGTTGTGAGACCAAGCCCCATGTCAGGCTCCAAGCTCAGCATGGATTCTGTTTGATATTCTCTCCCTTTCCCTCCACTCTTCCCCAATCATACTCCTCTCCCTCTCTTTTTCTCTCTCTCTCTCAAATAAATAAATAAAATATATTTTTTAAAAAAATAAAGCCTGAACTCCTGAGTAGCAGAATAAACTGACAGTCCCCCAAATATACCATGGTCTCAAGTCTTGGGGTCTTTGCACATGCTGCTTTTTCTACCTAGCACGCTTTTCTTCCTTCTTCACCCAAGGAATTCTTACTGATACTTCAAAACTCAGTTGAGATGTTGCCATCTCCACAAAGCTCTCCCTGACCACCAGCATGCCCATTCTGAGTTAGATGACCCTCCTTTCTATTCTGTTAGCACTTTGTTAATATCTCTGTCATACCAAATATATATTGAATAATAATCATTTACCCACTTTCTCTCCAGTTAAACTGAGAATATTTTGTAGATAGAAGCTATACCACTTATCTCTATCTTTATCTTATCTCTCTAGTAGACTGTCTAGCACATGACAGGTGCCCAGAAATCATTTGATGAATGAAGAAGCTCCAAATTAGGAGAGAAGACAGAAAAGCATAAGCATAGCAAGGTGTGATAAATATGCAGTGACAAATGAATACAGAGATTGGAAGCATCCTCTTAAGAAGACAGGTCTAGGAAGGAATTCCAGAGAGGAAGATGCTTAGATTGGCCCTAAGGAAAATCAGGAGATCACCAGGCATACAGGGAAAGGGAAGGCAAAGAGAACAGTAGCATATGGAAAACCCTGGATGCTTCACTAGGCATGAAGCATTTGGGGAGATTCCTCTTAGAATGACTCTAGTGACAAAGAGAAGAAGATATTGATGGGAGGGTGACAGGAGAATATTGGAAAACCAGATAAAGGCCTCAATTGCAATAATTAGCAATGAGATACAAATGAGGGCCCAGAGACTGATGTAGAGACATTCAAGAAATGAACCCAGCATGACCCTCACTACTCTGGCTTGAGTGAGTAGTGATATCATTTACCAGATTTAGAAATTAAGAGGAAAAACTGCTTTGGAATCAAAATGGTAAGCCGAGTCTGCTAGTGTTGAGCTGGAGTTGTCCATTGGACATCCAGGTGAAGATGTGCAGTACTCATGTGGATGTGTGAGTATGAAGCTCAGAGAAGCTGAGCTAAGAATGAAGACTCTATTACAACTTCACTGGAACTTTTGTTTTACCTCTACAACTTAATACCGCGCCATGAGGTTTCAGTCATGGGTAGGAACTGGTCCCATCTCTGCCACTGGCTTGGATACAGTGGCCTCCAATAAGCTGCTCGACTTCAGGCTGTGCCTATTTTATGGGAAAGGAGGTAATTAAGGGGACCTGAAGAAAAATGTTGCAACATTGCCCCCTAAAGCAAATTAATTAATCCTGTTGTTCATGATTCTACTGTGAAATGTGGAAGTCGTACCAGTGAGGCAAACTTCTTCCACTGCCCAAAAACTATACTTTCAGAGACAACTGTACACAAAGGGGAAGGGGAAGTCTTTACCTTCATTACACTGAAGTCCTTATCCATAGAAAATCCTCTTTAAATAAAGAGAAAAGGGTCGCCTGAATGTCTCAATCAGTTGAGCATCCAGTTTTTAGCTTTGGCTCAGGTCATGATCTCATGGTCAGGGATCAAGCCCTGAGTCAGGCTCCACGCTCAGTGCAGAGCCCACTTGACACTCTTCCACTCCTCTCCCTCTGCCCCTCCCTTGCTTGCTTGCTCTCTCTCTCTCAAATAAATCATAGATAGATGATAGATGATGGATAGATAGACGATAGATAGATGATAGATAGATAGATGATAGATAGATAGATAGATAGATAGATAGATAGATTAGATAGATAGATAGATAGATAGATAGATAGATAGATAGATGATAGAGTTGTTACTCCCCTGCTACAACAAACATGTGTTTGTTCTTTCTCCCTTTAGGGGTGGGGAGTGGTCTTATTGTAGTGCCATCTTGCCATTGCGATGGCCACTTTTTGTTCCTGTTCTTGCCCAGCACCCATCTTGATAATGCTCTGCTACAGAGTTTATTTGCAATTCTGTCTGCATTATAGAGTTTAGGCTGAGATCTGCTTTAAGGGACCCAAGTAAAATAGCATTTTTGCAAAGCAACTCATTGTGCTTTTCCTGGCTAATTTCTCTTAAGTGACTAGCCCTGAAATGAAACATATTTTAATTCAAAGTTTCCTGACAGTAATGGTACTGTGGGAGTTACATGATGTGTTTGTGGTCCAGGTATCTATTCACAAAGGCTAAATGGGAATTGCTTATGGAGTCCAGGCATTTCTAACAATTCGAGAGGGATTGGTATTTAACCAAACAGTTATGGCAGTCAGGTGTGAGCATGGCAAAGATTTAGCAAGGGCCTTAGTCATCTGTGGAGAATGGAAGATCTCATTTTTAATTCAAAGGACTGTGATAGAAAACTCATCATCAAACTTGAATATCAAGCAGCCATATTTACAAAGAAGGCAATATTACAGTAGCACCCAGGGAAATTTAAATGATGCATGATAAAAATTCTCAGAGAAGCCCAAAACCAATCATCCCATCCAGCATGCCAAATTAAATGCTGCACTAAGCCCAATGCTGGCACTGTGCTCAATGAAAGGGCCTTAAAATATTTACTTCTTGCTTCAAAGCAAAGGTACCAGGTTTATTCAGAATTGTGGTATCAAACATATTTCCTAATTTTAAAAAGAAAAATGCTTCAAGTTTAATGCCTCTGCCACACTGACAAAAAAGAAGTAACATATCACCCCAACTTTATGATCTGACGTTTTACTTTCTATAAAAGTAAATCAAGTTTGGTGGTCAGATTCAGGATGCAGATGGGAATTAGCTGCTTCTAAGAAGCAGGAGGCTGTAACCAAATTGTTCAGATGCGCTCTGAAAACTGGTAATCTAAAGGATGCTTTTCTAATCTATTGGAAACACAGTGTGAGTAGAACCATCTTTGGCTGAGTTAATGTTTCCTTAATTAACAGGTAGGAGACCAAATCATTGAGATCAATGGGGAGAGCACAAGGGACATGACCCACGCCAGAGCAATAGAACTCATCAAGTCGGGAGGAAGAAGGGTCCGTCTCCTGCTGAAGCGCGGGACGGGGCAAGTCCCGGAGTATGGTATGTTTCATGTTTTCATTCACCTTTTTTTTTTGTTTGTTTCTTCTGTGTACTGTAAATGCCTCTGCTTATTTGTAAAACTATATCAGTTCTCCAATTCTACCTATATATATATTTAGCTATCAATAGATATATATATGCATATGTACATTGAAGCACAAGATTTCTGTATGTGAGCTCTTTCTTTGGCTCCCTTGGTTAAGTGATGTTTAAAATAGCAAATAGAGGACTTTTCAGGGCATCTCTGAGTGTGCAGGGAGATCCAGCCACCACTTATACATTAGAACTTTTGCAATTTGACTAATAGTCCTCTGTTCATTTGAGTCCACAGTAATTTGTCAATTTTTGCCTAAAATCGGTCATGTATCACACTGCCCTGGAGGGTGTGTGACTAGGGCCAGGTGACAAGCAACAGTCTTCAGGTTGGAAGATGAGAATGTAAACTTCAGTTCACGCAGTGGTTGCATTTTCTTGGCACTTCGGGATAGTCCAAAAATTCACTCTGACGTTGGGCTTCTCTGTGCTTTTTAGGAAGACGTAGACGTGCATTAGATTTGCCTTCAGAGGTCTTTAACGGTGTTATTTCTCAGGAACCCATTTAAGGCACCACTGACAGCTTTAATAAGAAACTGCTGGGTGGTCATTACCTGAGAAGCCTCAGTCCCTGAGCTGGGCTGTAATTAATCTCAAGGAGCGTCACCAAGACAGGTATCAGCGAAGAGCCAGGCTGGTGATATGTGTCCACATGAGGGCAATGGGACTTAACTGTGGTCCTGAATAATTAGCTCAAATTGCTGATAGAGATAAATGGACTCTTACTTTCATCCCTCCATCCTCTACCCCCCAATCCCCCCACACACACACACAAATTCTAAATAGCACTTTCTCTCTCAAATTCTACTTCTCTTAATTAAGAGTAACTTGCCTAAATTGACATTTAGGCAACTTCCTTAAGTTGGCAGGTCAGGATAGTCCTGAGTTCATTTGCAATATCTGAATTCAAATGCCCTTAAAAACTTTGTTTTTAGAATCTTGAAACCCCAAAAGGATTGGCAAGTACTCAATTAAGGAAAGCATTGAAAAGCTTCTGTAGGGCTGGCTCTAAACCCCAGGAAAGATTTCATCCCAGGTTCCCATCCTTAATGCCTGGATCTAATAAAATATTTTTGAATATTAATATTAGCAATAAGCACAGGCCTGATTCTGTTCAATGGCACCAGCGCTAATCCCTTTGTAAAGAACTAACTTTTTGTACCCCAGAGAAATAAGTGATTTGGTAAGATCAAGCTGTCCTATGAGAGTTTGTCACTTCTAAAAAATACCTTAGTTTAATGGTATGCTTCATTCTATGACAAGACCTGTTATGTGAGCTAAGGAATTTCCATAAAGTTAGTATTATTCTTATGTCCTAACAAAGTAATCTTTAAAAAGTTAATCTGAACAACATGGCTACCCAGAGCTGTCTTTTCTGTTATAGAATCCCTATTTAGTCTGTATTTTCAGCAGTTTGTCTACAGTGAGCACTTAGAACAGTACTACTGACCAAGCCCCACCATCACTCAAACTGTCATGCCTACATATGATGCTGCCTCAAAGCATCTTTAAGAAAAAATAAAAACATGTTTTGAACAAGACAAAAATTCAAGATCATGTCAACATGATCCCATTACTTCTTAACATCACTCCAAAACACCTGGTTAAGGTTGAATTATAAAATTAACAGAGTTTTGGACACAATTTTGAGGGACCAAGGGTCAATATGGTTAACTCCAGCAGTATTACAGAATTTCTTCTACATCTCTTCTTCTAAAATGTGACATGAAATTATACTTGCCAATGGTTAGAGTTTTTCAGCTACTGTTGGTGTTAGATTGACATAGATTCTGACTATAAATTAACTTTAGAGATTATGTCACAAAATATCCAATTTAATAGAGCAGAGCAATCTCCTTTAGAGAAGTAAGAGAATAATCAAAAACTGAGTAAACATTAACATCTAAGCTGAAAGATGCCTGGTTTTGCATGAGCAACCAAGAAGGTTAGGGATCAGACTTAACCTTTGAGGTCTTCAAAGGTTGAGGTCTTCTCAAAAACCTAGCATCTTTGAGGATAACTCCATCAAGTAATATTTCTAGAATCTCATAGTAACTAATGTGGTCCTCAAGACTACCCATATTCAGAGATCTGCTGGAAAGACTCCTGGGGCTCCCAGCTAAGATTTATTAGAGTGATGTAGTAAGGATACACAGTGCAATCTTGCAATCGTAAGGGGAAAAAAACAGACAAAGCCTGAAGGAATCCAGGTGTGGCCTTCCTTATTTTCTCTCTCTGTCTCATGAGGGGCCACCCAGAGAGCACTCTTCCCCCAGCAACAAAAAAGCAATAATAAATGTGTGATACTGTTGCCCATGGAAGTTCATTAGAGATTAGCACCCAAGGTTTATACTGGGTGCTGCTCATGTAGGCACTCTTTATCTAGCACATACCAAAATTCTAGACTCCTATAAGAAAAGCAGGTGCTCAGCATAAACTGTTGTGGGCACAGTTGTACATGACATACCCTTACCACTCAGGGAAGGGTCTATATTAGTGTAAGAGACAATTTGCCTGTCACAGTGCCAGAGACCAGCCAACGGCCGAACTCGCAAGCAGGTTTTCTAAGTTAGCAGTCTCAAGGCTGCCGTGCAAACTCTTTCCTGTGCCAGGAGCAAGCTAAAGAAGCAGCCACAGTCATGAGTTTTACAAATCACTCCAGCATAAAAGGAGTATCCACCACTAAGAAACATCATAATTCCTCCAGCATCAGTTTAATAGACAATACCATGAAGCAGAATTTTTGTCCAAGATAAGAGTGTATTTTAATGAAGTTGGCAAGGAAGGGGGGGGGTGGTGAGATAACAAAACCAAATAACAGAAGCAAAAACAGCGAAAGAAAATGCTTGAGGCAACCAGTAGATATAACCAAGAATATAATCCACTTTGTCCAGATGTACCCTCCTCACAGGAACACTGAATTTTCCGTCAACTCTGAGTTTAATCCTGTATTCTTTTCCTTTGTTTGCCTTTTAATATCCTACATATCACAAAAATCCATCCTTAAAAGATGATTGAGGGGGGTTATCAGAATCTATGGGAGACATAACCTGCTAGGGAGCCACATAGACCCAACCCAGCCTGGGAGAGTGAGCTTTGAAGAGTAGGAGATTGCCAGCCACCAGCCTGTGGCAGGGTTGTAAGTGATACCCACCAACCCTCCCTCTGCCACCTGCAGAATCCAGAATTCACAAGAGCTCTGAAGCAAGACCCTTATCTGGACATTTGGCCACGTCGACGAAAAGCTGATCTCAGTCAAGAGAAATACAAAACTCTTGCTCTGAGTTCCTAAGGTGATCTGTGACAGAGAGATAAGCACAGGTACAATTGAGAGGAAAAAAATACCCAGGGTAATCCGTCAGATTGTTGACTAAACAAAATCAGTGTGAATCCAAGTGAGCTGAGGAAAGGAATAAATATGCTGCAAATATGCCATCCATAATTACCGCAAGACTAATCGGCAGACGACACCCCAGCCAAGTCAGAGGCGTCAATCAGCAAATGCAGCCACATAAGTGGGGGCGGCACACAGGCTGCCGAGCAGCTGCAGGGGGAGTCGGCAAGTGATAAGGGCTTTGAAGAAGTTGCTTTTATAGCTAAGTCCTTGAAGGAGATGGATACTTCAACTCTACTCCAGTCCTCAGGATAAGAATTTGTTGATTATAAACTCCGCGGGAAGCGAGCACTCCCCCTCCCCTGACTTGCATCTCAACAACTGGCAGGAATAAGGAAATTTCACTCCACCATACTGAGAAAAGCATCCAAAGATGATGCATCAAAAGTAGCGCCCTCCTTAACACTGGCTGTTGACGTTTGAATTAGATCTTAAGAAGTTAAGAAAGAAGAAAGCATGCACGTGGTTCTAGAGCTGCCCAGGAATATATTACACAAATTAGCTCCCTGCCCTCAAATGCTGGTGTCCTTCATTAGCATTCAAGGAATGCACGGGAACCACAGAGCCAGGGCCAGGGTGAACAGAGGTGCCACTGGATGAAACCAAAATCAAACGGTTCAGACCAACTTGGGCCTTTCCCCCGGTAATATTTGCTGTTCAAATATGATCAAAATAAAGCAAAACAGAAATATGTCTTCTAGTCTTAGTGGCCCAGCCTGCTTCTTCCCTCCTAAGGCAACGGAACAGGTCTTTAGTGGCAAAGGGAGTCCAGTTGCAAATGGAGACTCAGTGGTCTCAGGAGGCCGTGCAGGGTTACAAGGATGAAGTGGAGTTCTCCTAGGATATGCGGCCCCGCAACAACGAACACCAGATGCCCACACAAAAGGAAAGAAAGAGTTAATCTGTGAGTCCGATTTCTGCCTACCTTTCCATTTTCAAAGTTAGCTGTGTCTTTTTTTTTTTAAGATTTTATTTATTCATTCATGAGAGAGACAGAGAGAGGCAGGCTTCTCACAGGGAGCCCAATGTGGGACTTGATCCCCAAACTGGGATCAACCGCTGAGCCACCCAGGCATCCCTAGTTGTGTCTTTAATGGGTTTTGACTTGACTACGGGTCTTTGGTAAATAGAATTGTTTTCATTTTATAAATATAATAAAACTGCATTAAGTAAGTAGAGAAAAGATATGAGTCAGGCCGTGTAGCTAAGGAAACGAATGGGCCAAATAGTTGTTTAGTTGAAGACTGTCTTTAATCAGGAATACCCATGATGTAAAGGATCATATCAGAGCACCAGATTGAGCAGCACTGGTCTCTACTTATAGGGCAATAGGCAATAGGCGACGTTTATTTTTTTATTCTTCTTCAGGAACATACATTGACCATTTGCAACGCCACGTATGGAGCTGAAGAGTATGATGTTAATTGAGATAAGTCAGTCCAAGAAAGACAAATACCATATGATTTCACTCATGTGGAATTTAAGACACAAACAGGCAAAAGCGACAGACAAA